TTGGAATACAATAAAGCTGTACACTTCACACCCCACACACGACTGTACATATACTCACATATTCACACACATGCTTCTGTAGCATAATTTTTTGCATCCACAAACTAGTGTTCACATGAGCACACATGTATGACCATACACACACACACACACACACACACACACACACGGTGTTTTCTGAATCAGATCTCTCAGGGGGGTAAATACTGTGGAACTGTCACTGAGGGATGGAGTGAAGAAGGGGGCAGTAATGGGAAATCTATTGTTGTGCGATGAGGATGTGGCAGGGAAAAGAGGAGGAGGGTCAGGGTATGTTGGGATATAAAAGTGGCATGGTCACTCTCATTTCTGATGTCAGCCCCGCTATCTCAGTGCCCCCTCTGCTTTGGCTTGAAGTTTTATATGGGATCAATAGAGAGGGGAGAGCAGATGGGGTTTGTGTGTTAGTGTGATGGGTGAGTATGCACTTTCTGTGTATATATGTGTTGTACACATGTGCATATAAATTTGCAGCTTTGTGTTCTCTTCCTGCAGCATGTGCTTGGAATATTTTGTGCTAGAAATAAGCATTGCTGTGGCGTGTTACCTTAGATGACAAGTGCAAAAAGTGATATTTATAGAAACAATCTTAGAGAAAGAATTCAACATGTTGGGAAATATGCTGATTCCATTGCTTTGCGGAGAGTTAGATAAGAAGATATGATATGAATGATTCAATTCACTCAACTCTATAAAGTGAAGCTGGAGCCAGCAGCTTCTTACCATAGCTTAGCATAAATAATGGACTCGGGGAAACGGCTAGCTGGCTCTTTCCAAAAGTTCAAAAAGTCATATATGCATCTCTAAAGCTCACTAATTCACAATTTATGTCTAATTTATTTTATCCATACAAAAACTTAAGTGTAAAAGTTTTGTTTAGTCTTTACGGAAACCGTCTGCTGGCTGTAGCCTTGGTAGCAATCGCTGCTAGCTAGAAACAGCTAGCCCAGTTCAGTCCAAAATAAAATAAATCTACATACTAGCACCTCCGAAAGCTCTAAAGCTAATTAATATTTTTTGGTTTTATCTTTACAAAGTGAAAAATGTGTAAAATGAGTTGCCGCCTGCTGGTGGTAGCTTCATATTTGTATGTAGACTTCAGAGTGGTATCGATCTTGATGGTATCGATTTTGAAAAAGCTGTCAAACCTTTTCTTTAAAACAGTGACTAATACTCCAACGATTATGGAGCTGTGTTCTTTTGACACCGCTGCTATCATTTATATTTAGCAAATCCAGATGCTCAAACCACTTCAAAACCCCACTGAACATCTATTTTGTTGCAAGCTGTAACTCGACAGCCTCACATTCTTGACGAGACAATAACGTCTCGTTATTGTCCTTGGATGCGTTTGTCTCACGGTGGTAGCAGCCTTGTTTTGGCTCTTATGTATGCCTGCAGTCTAGTACAAAGCGAAGGAACTCAAATCCCCAGGGCTAGAATTTTCCTTCGCACAGGCTCACACTGGCGTTCTTGAAATGTTTAGAGGTGAGAACTTCTGCATCACAAGCCGTCTTTGAAAACATTCAGTTGCCATTTCTTGAACAGCATAAAACATATGAGCATGTTTGATGAGCACATTGGATATTTTTGTATTCGTAGTGTGGTTTGTCTTTGGAAGTTTGCGTGCCCTCTGATGGGTGCAGGAAAAAAGAAATCAGGCATTAGAAACTGGGTCAGACACTGAGGTGGATTTCAAAGGTGGATTCTTGTAGAAATACTGTGAAAAGATAAGAATTTAGGAATCGCGGGACAGGGGATGGCAGGTTAAAATAAAAGATTGAAAAGGAAGGGAAAGGGAAAGGAAGGAAAGAACATCCATACAAAGTGATGAGGCCAAAAACCAGGACGATGACCACATATGGAAGAAAGCCTGATAATGGTTCGGGATTCCTGAGTGCTGGCTCCCCTGAAAGCAGCGAGATTTTGCAGAAAGCTGGACAGACATACTTCGGGTTGGCTTTGTGGCATTTGCAGTGTTGAGTCTGACAAACACACACAGAAAATAAGCTGTGAAGTAAATAAACCAATCTGCTGAAAAACCCATCACTCTCTTTGTCTCTCTCTTTATGTCGTATTCACTGATTCACTGAAACAGATTCTGTGTCAGCGTGAGCAAATATGTCATATTCCATCTCACTGGGTATCAAACGTACCCTGTAGTCGCAGACATGTAAATAAGAACCGCAGAACATGACATTCTGTTTGTGGGGAACATTCCGGCCTGTGTGCCTCTCTCTCATCTCCTACAGCAGTGATGTGTAGACCTTATTACAACATGTAAATGACCCCCTACTGTGCCATCTAGGAGTATGATATGATGAACATGCTCAAATGTGTGGAACAGGAGTCGTACATAGTATAAGAGCGAGTGTGTGTGTGTGATGCCTCAGCCCAATACCTTTGCTCACTGTAGCTGTATGTGTGCATTATGCATCCATATACTGTTTGTGCATTACATCAAGCTGTCAGAATTAGACATTTGCTGTCTTGTCTTTCTATATCAAGTGACATGAATGAGAGGAAATTCTTTAGATCAAAGTGTACATACTATATTGAAATAGTTACTACTTTCAAATAAGGCCTACTTATACATAGGTTTGTAGTTTTAACTAATGCTTTATAGACCAGCAATAATCCATTAATAATTACCACATTTGGGCTGTGGGTTTGACTTCCAATGGACAGTTTGCTGCAGATGCTCTGTAGTTCTACAAGTTGTCAAAATCAATTTTTGAATTATTTCAATCCATCAATACTTTTATATAAATGATCGATGAAATTACCATGTGCACTGTCAGAGGTGCCACTCACAAAGATGGATCCACAGAGAATTATTGCCCAACTCTGCAGTTCCACTGAGCTTTATTTAGTTTTAGCGTCTCTTGGCTCATTGGTTTTAGTTTGATTTTACAGTACTCAAGTTAACTGTTTTGGGTCACTATCGTACTGTCAATGCTAAAATCTCAGATAAACCCACTGTACGCTACCTGCCCAGCACCAACAGTAGATAGACAAAGTTAGCAACTAGCTGATGAACATATTTAAGCATTTAGCTTTGAACTGATGGGGACGAAAAAAAGAGCTATAGGAAGAGTGAATATTGGACTCTGGTGACTTAAAATGTATGTTAATATTCTCCCAGTCTGCTGGATGTCTAAATAGGCAAATGTTTGCTAACATATTCACCATCAGGTGTTGCAAAAGTTGTATTTAAGCCTTTAGGTGCTTTGGAGGAAAGATCTGATAAATGCCACAAGTGATCTCAGTTGAGGTGACTCCAGAATCTATGTGGTCATGTGTGAGCAGGTATATGCAACATCAGATTCCTCCTCGATCAGTGATGATATAAACATGACCAGGTAGATTGCTCATGTTGCACCTGTCCACCTCATTGCGTTCTGGTGCTTTCAGGTTTATCTAAAATCCATCTATTTATCCTCATGTGAAAGAGAAAATTAGTTTCTCCACTTTACACATAGAGTCCTTTGTAGCTCAGTGGGTGTTTTGTAGCCTTAGTGGTGGTTTATCCTATTCGATCAATGAATACAGTTCATAATTAGCCCACTATTTTATTTGCAGCTACACTGTACTTCCACCAAATGGTGCGCATTCCTGGAATATGTTTGTTTCTGTAGAAATATCTCCTTTTCTGTTTTCTTTTGATGATACAATTTTGAGGTTCAACTCTGTTGTCTCTATCCAAAAGATAAAGCTCTGAAGCTACAGAGTGCCCTAATTGCTATATTGGCTATGACAGCCTTGTTCTTTTCTTTCATCACTAACACACTATCAGCCTTTTCTCTGTCCTCCCACTATGCACTCGTCTCTCCTGTTCAACATTTTGTCCTTTGACAAAAGAGAAAAATGGCCAACCTTACCAGGATTTTAATATATATATATATATATATATATATATATATATTTACTCTGATTCTCTATCACAAACACACTCACATCCATTTCTGTGACGTGCCCATTTCCCCTCATCTTCCACTCTGACCCCACCCTAAACACTGGATGTCCCATATTTATTTTAAATAGTTTCTCTCTCATCTGTGATGGCACAAAAGAAATAAAAATCAGAGTTGTTTATTACTATATAAAATATGTAGTTTCAGGGAAGTGAAACCTTGGAGGACGGTTGATATTGAATTTTTCAACATGGTGCTCAATTCAAGCCATTGTCTCCCTCTCCCTGGGGCCCTGGCCTGTTACATGTTGCATTTAAGCACACAGGTCAATAAAGGTAATTGATAAGCTCTCATACAGATATATCGTGATGAATGAAGGATATTTGCAGTGCAATGAATCAAACTACCTCTGGAGCCATAAATGGATGGTTGTACCCCCACCTAATGGGAATAAGCATAAACTCATTCTCCATAGTGAATTCCACAGTGTCACGAACAGCCACCTATACGGATGCGTTATTGGTCCATTACATACACTTTATGAGCGCCTCACAGCTGGAGCAGAAATGGTGTAGCTCCACTGGTGGCCTAGTCATAGATTATTGGCACGTCCATCTGCCCAAGGAGGCAAAACTAGCATAGCATCAATCTTCTTCTCAAGCTAGATCTTTACATAATAAGCCAACTAAGATACCTTATTTTGGTAAAGAGAGAAAAACCTAATATGAGATGTTTGCATTTGCCTGATCCAGGTCCATTTAACAGAGGACCTATGACTTTAAATATTAACTGAAAATGATAGCAGCAATTTTAATTCAAAACATGAACATAATGATTTACTTATTTTAATCAAATCATTCTTTTTCAAAACTGTTATAAAGTATCAAAAGAATTTATTTGATTCCTAAGTAATAGTGGACAAAGGTGGCAAAAAATGCTACACACACACACACACACACGATCTGTAATGTAAAAACAAACAGCAATTTAATTTTTCAACACAATGACACACATACAAACAAGTAAATAATAACATTTTGATTTGTTAAAAAATAAAATACATTCAATGGTGCAAAACCAATAATTAAAAGTAATAAATTGAAATGTTTTGGCATCAGGAGACGGACTTGTAGCTTATTCACATGTTCAATAGCAATTTTTCTGCATTACAAAAACAAACTTTTGTGTGGAGTCACTTGACCTGACCTCACAAAACTGTAAAACGGACATTATACAACACAAAAATGACCCGCACCTGCTTTGAGCAACACACTATATGAATCACCCCATTTTGTTACCTGTGTAACAGATAAAATAACATAACAATAATAAAACATTTACTCAGGAACAGTACTCTGACAGAGGTTTCATAAGCTCAACCCCCGCCACTGTGGAAAATCCCAGATGAAAAACTATTCCAGAAATCAATTAATCACTTTACACTGAGATTATAATTTTTCCATGGGTGTTCTCTGAAATTACTTCTCTCCCATCTTGTTGGTGATGAAGTGGTTTCTGAAGGTTCAAAAAGTGCATACATCCCTAAAAATGCGCCCTGCTGAAAGCCTTTGTCCAGTTCTGATATGATTTGTCTCTTTTAATAAGAGTGTTTCACAAGGTTCAATAAAATCTCCAATATGGAAAGTCAAGAGCTACTCTTCCAAACTTTTACAGATAATTAGCACCATGATAAATAGTCAGTAACCTAAAGGCACTGAAAGGGGAAAATTACCTGGAAGAGACGAGATGCTTGTTGGTTTTAAAACAAAAATTAAGTTTCCATAAAATATACAATGCTGTGAAATTCTGTAATAAAATCACTCGGGGGGGAATACATACAATAATTCAAGGCCAACTGGCGTTTACACTCGATGTCATGCATTTACATCAGACTCTTATCCAGAGAAATAGAAACAGGTTAGCAGTTTCTAGTCTCAGGTTACTTTTGCTACATTTACGCCCAGCATCCACTCTACTTCTGTGTTTTCTAAGTCCTAAAACGGAGATTTTTGAAAATGCTGCTGACCACATTTTAGTATAGAACTCCGGGACTGTGTTGTGTCTGAACGGGTGGAACCGGAGAAATTTGAAAACAGTGGCACAGACACCCACGTTCACTTCTTCATTTGGTCTTATCAGTAACAACATGTCAAGTGTATCAAGCCAAAACATTAAAGCTATGTCTTATACTCATGTGTTAGCAGAGTAGACAATCTGCTTCCTGTTTACACTGGCACTCGCACGCCCAGTGTACGTGAATTGTCATGTGAGTTTTCATCAAGTTATTATTAAACTTATTATTGTGGACGTAGCCTCAATCTGAGACAATCCCAACTGTCTTACAGAGCTTAAAGCAGCTGTTCACCAAGATAATCTAAAAGCTCCACTCTTTAGTTGTCCACTTAGTAGTCTATGCATCTTTGGACAACTTCTGTTCATTGTTTTTGAACAGTGTGCCAGCTAAAAACACATTTACAACTCAGAATATTTTGTATATCTGTAGAAAGATCCTGCTTTGAACAGCAGGATTCAGCTTGGATTGGATTCTTGTGTATGTATAGTGTGTATGGCCAGTAACAACTACCACTGTAACTTTTCTTCAAAGTTAGACTAAGGCGAAGTCTCTCTCCTGTTGGCCTCTGTCCCATCATTGTGATCCATTTCTGTCACCGTCCAAGCGGAGCCTTCCTGTTGGTGTTTGCCAGGCTGTGTGCCAGCCGCTTGGTGAAGAGATGGTGGGACTTTCCACAATAAGTGTGTGTTGTCTTCAGCAGCTCCTCTTCGAGAGGATCCAACAGGGAAGTCACTAGGTCTGCACCAAAAGAGAACTGGAACGACAAAACAATCCATTGGTTAGATTTAGTGTGATTAAAGTAGCTTAGATGTTCTAGAGAGAAAATCCATTTCCAAGCACTGAATATTTATTTTGAGAATAAGATTCTCATTTTAAAATGTACTGATCTGACAGAGACATTCAGGTAATGCAAAGCATTGTGCTTTCAAAGAGCAGAATAGATAAAACCAGGAAAGTGCTGAATATAAAAGGCAGAGTGGCACGGACGTTTGTATATCCGTCTTGTCTAATGTTGCCAAGTTAGAGGACTTGTACTCTCCTGTCTCTCCCTTTTTCTTCAGAGAGCAGGAACACGGGGGTGGTGGTTGTCTAAAGGTTGGAGGAGTGGGCTTAGAAACATAAAATGAGCAGCTGAAATCCCAAACTACTGCCAAAACTCTCCCGAGGACAGCTCTCAAACCCCCTGTTCCAGTGGAATTGATCAGGTTCCCTCAGGAAGAAAGCAAAGAAGTGGTGCTTTGGGTTGCATTTGGGCAGGCAAGATATCTTTGCCTGGATAAATTAAAAACTAAATCTGCAAGGCACACAGGACTCAGATGGGACTCCAAATCTAATCTGATCGGTCAGCTGGGCACAACATAAAGCAACCCACGTTGTTGGAGTCAGTTTTATGCTATAGGCTTACCGTCCAGTGATAACTGGGGATTACAGAAGAAATTTCATGTCTTCCCAATAATGAAGGAGCCTTTACAACGCTCCGAGGAAATCAAAGGGGAATTACCATTTTTTATGCCAGCTCATTTGCTTGCGATTGGGTCCCTGATATTGGGTCACAAAGAGTGGCTTTTTTATGAGCGCGCGCACACACACACATACACACGGTCATAAAGTTGCATTTACAGTTGGTGTATTGATTTTTGTGTGGCTGATGGGGCACTGTTGGTGTGCAGACTGCAACTCTAAATGTACCGCCGGCTGTAAAAATTTAACTGCTGCTTCTTGGGCTCAGCTTCTTCTTGCAGTGGAGGGAGGGAGGAGATGCTTTATGACGGACAGACCGCTGTGATCTGTTTGAGACACAGGCCGGCGGACAGACAGGGAGGAGCGCTGCCGTTTGTATTCCCATTTCTTTGTGTGAGGATACAGGGCATGGACACTGATTTATGTACATTTGTCTCCAGTTTATTAAGAAAATTAACTGATATGAACAAAACAAAAAATCTTTAAAAAAGGTAGAATTAAAGACTTGTTGCAACATTAACAATAGATAAACAGCTGATTTATCTGTTAGTCTTTAGTCTAAACTTAACAACAATTTTGATTATTGTTTATTAATTTAAGCCATTCATCAAGCAAAAAGGCTCATTATTCACTTGTCCCAGCTTCTCAAATGTGAGGATTTGCTGCTTTACTCCTTTTTATAACTGTAATGTGTTCAGATTTTAGACTGTTGGTTGGACGAAACAAGCTGTGTAAAGATGTCACAAAGGGCTCTGAGACATTATGATGCTTGTTTTTCACTATTCTGTGACATTTTAACTAATAAAATTTTAAAATAATCATTAGCTGTGTGTGGCCCTACATAAATGTCATGTTTTCCTGCCTTTGTCTTACTGTGGACATAACTATATTTTTTTGGCGATGAGTAGGAAGTTTGCAATTATGCTGACTAACAAAAAGCTAGATTGTGGCTACTTAGCTCGGGTAAGTTATATCAACTTCAATGATCATGTAAAGGAGTGAAAACAACAGAAAACAAAAAATGTGGGGGGAAAATATCTCCAGTGGTTCTCCAATGGAGACAGGTTGGCTCTGATCAGTGTGCCTCAAAGTCATGCGCATGGTAACTTTACTCCCCTGCACATTGGGACATGTTATGATGTTGAGTCATTGCTTCTGGGCCTGTTGTTTGTGAGAGCCAATAAACTTATGTATGACTCTAAACGTGAATATTTCCCAGTAACTCTTATAGAAATTGTGTAAAAGTGAGTCTGTGTGTGAGTCCTCTTTCCTGTGCCAGTTTTCTGAATCCTCACACTAACCGAGCTGCCAACGTAGCACTGTTCTATTAGTTATTCACACCATAACACTACACAAAAAAAGCCTGAGGTTGTGCTGCAGATGAACAAGCAAAAAATGGATTAAATACTCTGTCCAGTGAGATAAAACACGCAGAGGATTAATCTATACTCCTCCATCCTCCTGGAAAACCAGACTTAATCACATATCTATGAAAGTGCCAATACCTACATAGACTTTTGGAAGAATGCGTGCTATGGGCCCTTAGGAGCAGATACAGCGAAGGTTCATGTGTGTCTACGGATGTAATTGATCCTGTCTTATAAAGCTGTAGTTTTAACTGCAGGCCATGGATAAGGTATAGATCCGCCATCGCTCTGATTTATGTTCAATGCTTTGTTAATAGGAAAGCAATGAGACTCCCAATGTTGATGGCTTCATTAAGTAAATGCCACTCGTGTCGTCAATATCATTATACTGCTGGTAAACATCCCATAAACATCCTCATGGGGGAAATTAGCTTTCACTCCAGCCCTTCTGAAAATGGTGGAGATTTGTGTTTCCTAATGCGGACAATATGGTGTCACTAACACTTACGGCGTTTGGGGTCGGCACCAATCCAAAATCTCATCTAGGAGGGCAAAGAAAGAGGGCAGTGGAGGAAAGCAGGCGTGTCACTGGGGTTATAAAAGGGCTCCTTCCATCAGCCGCTGTGTTCTAAATTACACTTACAACACTTGAGAGACTGGTGAACCTTTTGAAACTTTGGTGTACTCAAGAGACCTTTTTAACAGAGTGCTCTTGCTCATTTTAAGTCACTTCTGGTAATTCCCAAAATGGCTTTTGAGAATTTGCCTGCTTCCAGTATATGCAGATGGAAACAGAAATTGGAATCCAGTAAATCTTGTGATCATAACAAGAAAGCAAGTGTTTCCAAAGCTGCATCCTTCACTCAAGATAGGCTGCAACATGAGGATGCCTTTTCTCTTCATCTACCATAAGTATCTGCCTATATAATGTGCGTGAGTTGTTCAAACACAGCATAGGACAAATCCATTGGAGCCTCAGTGCCAGACAGTAAAACTTGCTTTTTTCTGTTCATATTTTACATTACTGATCATTGGTTTGGTTTTTACATTGTAGGTGAACTGATGAACATCCTGATACGATATCTTGTTGACTACATCTAATTATTTTTACAATAATTAGAAGTGAAATAGCTTACAGAGATGCAAGGGCATCTTCAAGAGCTTCTTTTACACGTTTTGCACAAGTCTGTGATGAAATTAACAATAAAAGGCAATTAAAAAGATTAATGGTTAGTTTTACACACAGAGGCCAATATTAGATACATCAAAGCAGATTAATCTTGGCAGTTGGTGCATCAGCTTGGAGTTCAGTGTTAATACAGATAATGTGAATGTCTTTTATTTCCTCCTTCTTGTAGGGAGTTCTGCATTTTAGTGCCAATTTTTCCTGGTATGAGCAGTGCACTAATCCCACCAAGCCCAATCCATGTTTGGATGAACATAAAAAGAGAGTACTATAACTGCATTCACAAAGCCTAAAGAAGTAAACTATAGGTGTATTCAAGCATCTCACATACATGAACACAAACACACCAAGGCATGCCCACCTTTCGTATGGCCTCGTAAACAGCTTTGAAGGCTGGCTGCTTGTGGTCGTGGTAAACTCCTCTGTTTCCATGTAGTATGTAAATACCGTCTTCTTCAGCTGACGCACAGTTACTGCCATAGATACAATGATCCGGACGGTAATTCCACTGGCAGGGAAACTCCAGCAAGCACTCTGGGAATAAAGGTGCACAAACACAGATAAACGACAACAAATCAGAGCTACAAAGAGGGCATCCTGTAGACTTTTACGAGTGTGAGAAGTATTTCTGTCTTATTTTATATCGTCGTATTACTGTCAATATGAGTTTATTAGTCTTTGGAGGCTAAAAAAGGCATTGTGTGTGTTATGTTAGCATGCAGCCTTACCAGGGTTGTGGTGAAAAATTATATTCAGAAGGTCCTGGTCTCCCCAGGTTATGTTGAGTTTGTATTTCTGAAGCAGAGGCATCAGCAGCTCCTCCCAACGCAGCCCCACGAACGTCATGTCATTCTGTCAACACAGACATGTATGCACAACATTCAAAAAGTAAAGTCAGCCTTAACTGTGTCAGGATTTTGTCAAGTGTTGGGTGCTTCACATTGCAACAGGATCACATTGAATCCTATCACAGACCACTACAACTGCAGAGGAAGGAGGACATCTTGTGGCCAATCAAAGTATTACACTAACACAGTAAGCCCAACAACATGGTGAATGTGTCTTCAGCATTCAGCAGCCCTACCTTAAAGAACATGTCCCTCATCCTTGTCATGTTCATGAGCATGACCCCTGAGTTGATGCCCGTCCTGCCGTAGAAAGGGTGGCGGGCGAAGCGGTTATACCAGGCGATACGGGGCTCCTCGTGCTCAGGGGCCATAGCAGCCAGCTGGGAGGAATTAAACCTGGACAGGAACGCCCACAGGCGGTCTACAGGTTGCAGGAAGAGGATGTCTGAATCGACATACACGATCGAGTCCACGTCTTTTAGGATCAGCTGCACAGATTTTTAAAAAAGACACAAAGACAGGTGTCACTTAGGACAGTAATGATGCTCTCCAATGTTTTTAATTGGATATGCTACCGTTATGTTCTGCAGTGAGATTAGCCTCAGGGTAACAGATTATAAGACATTCGCTATCTTGTATAAAAGGTGAACTACAATGATTTGGAAACATTACATTTCACTACAGTGCTCTTTTATAATATATACAAGCAAAATACAGTTATATTTTGGTTTGTATATTTTACTCTGTAGATTTTACAGTATAAATTCACAAAAAAATGGCACCTTTAAAATTGGGCAATCCCAATTTCACTGGAGGATTTGAACAGAGCTCCAAGTTTTCCAGACCTTGATTTCCTAACTTTAGTTATGTTTTTTCTTTAAAAAGAACTCCAAAAACAAATAACTGAGAATATCAGATTGACGTCAGATAAGTGTTTCCGCAGTGGTTCTTTTCTCAATAAGACACTCACAGGTAAAAAGAGCCTCTGAGAAGCGCAGGGTTTGAAGAGTTTCTTCCACTCGGCAGCGTTCTCGCTGGGGAAGCTGATGGAGTAGACAGTGTAGTTGAACCTGGAGCGAATAAAACCAGGCCACGACTCCAACTGAAACGCAGATAACTTATTAAGTAGCTAGTAGGGACAGATAGCGTAGGATACGGTCAGGCAAGCGATTTGAAGGTCAGATTCCAGACTTTAATTTTGAAAATATTTCCTACTCACGGCTTCCATGAAGCTGGCGTGCAGCTGATCTTCAGCGAATATGTGCAGGGAGAGGCGTTTGATGCTGAAAAGCACCGCAGACTTGATCATAGTGAGGGTCTCCTCCAGCCTCTCCCCGCAGGCCACCACGGCCAGGTGCATGGGAGGTTCGGGTGTGCTGTGAACGCCGCCACCACGCGCCACCCCCTGACCACGCTGACGCATTATGTACCTGAGTAAGAGGATGGAGAGTTGGACAGATGTTGTAATAAGTGAAGTTTCAGAATTGTTTAAATCACGCTTTCTTTGCTAGGAGACTGAAGAGATTTTACAACAACCCCAAGCACTCGAAGTCAGAGTATAATAATAACCTTGTAATACTGCATGGTGAGCACCTATGCGTTTTGGCAAAAGGCTTCACCATGGTGGCGTAGGTGTCAGGTATTCTTTCTTCTTATTTGTTATGACCCTTGACACCAAAGGGCACATAATTTAAATTATTGTCTATAAAGCAAACGCATACTCCACTTTTCTCTTTATGTAAAAAATATTACTGAAAGACATCAATGTCAAGCCTCCAGAGGATCAGCATTAGGCCATTTTAGCAAATCACCTTATTACGCCACATAGAGAAATTTATGTGACATAAATCCTTTAATAGCGAATCAGTTAAGTGGTTTGACATTAATTGTCAAAAGCTAAAAAAGTAAATTTTCTGTCTTAAATGATTTTACTCCGATTAGAGTTTGGCTGGGAATGACTACCGTCTCGGTGGTAGCCACACACCACCAAACTCGGGGTATAAACAAGTGCAAGAAAAAAAATCATTCTCTGGTTTCAGCATCTCAGATGTGAAAAATTGCTGCTTTCCTTTGAACCTGATAACAAAATACTTATGTAGTAGGTACCCTGTGGATTTTATCTCAAATAGACAGTCCTGGCGGCAGTAACCTCTGTAAGAAATTGGTTGTCTCTTCCATTTAACTTTATTAGCTACTCCTCCCATCTATCCTTCTCCTCAAACTCGATCTGGCAGTCAGGTGTGACAACAAACAAAGCTTGATTTGCAACTGCATCATACATTAAACACTTGATTACATCACAGTATTCCCTTCAACATGATGATGTATTTACCCTCCATCGACTTTCATCAGATTTTTACAATGAAAATCTGGCAAAAGGTAACATTAAGGCTGGGTTGGGCTGTGGGAGACCTACTGTTTTGGGGCTATTCTTCGTATTACTAAGTTATAATTGTATACATTTTAGTGACGTATTAATCTTGGAACAAACAAGTCACACACCTGTCCAAGTCTCGCGTCATTACTGTCTTGTAGAAAGACGTAACGTCAGCTATATGAAGAGAAGGCTACTTTTATCTGCATTGGGTCAGTCAGCGTCACATTCCTATGCATCAGAAGTGTGGTACCTTACAGAGTAGCCTACATATCTCCACATCTCCGTGTATCGCACGAAATATATCTATTTTGAAACAGCCGTACCCAGTTAAAGCATTAAAGACCTGAAAAGCCAGTCCTACCTATTAAACCAATGTGGGTTTTGGGGCCCAGTTTTGTCCACCGTCCCTCGCCTGCCTCCGGGTACTCTCGGTGGGTTGAAAACCCTCTTCAGTCCGTTTCCTCCGACCGGCACGTCTGAGTAAAGCAGTTTACTGTAAACATACAAGCCCGAAAACACGGCAAACACCGTGCACAAGAATAGTGCACGAATGTAACGCCGCATTATGGAGTTTGAAAACGCGACTCGGAGCTAAAGTCATGACACAGAAACTAGCGTTTAAAAATAACCGTGAAGCTCAACGTAATAGTTACGCACTTCCGCTAAACCTTTTGAAAATAAAACTCTTACAAAGAGGTGTAATTACGCCCTCTGGCGACCATGTTTAAAGCTCTACAACTATCTACCCACATTTCCTACTTGTCAAGTTTGGAAAAAAATTTAGCTTTATATGCTTGTTATTTGTCTGATTGAACAGAAATAATGAGTTAATGTCTTGTCCAGTAAAACACAATGGTAGGACTGTATGTGCTTATATCCAAATTGAGCTCCTCTTCTCACTAGATTACAATACTTTGTAACAAATTTAATACAGAGAAACAGTTTGACAATGCAGAAAACAATGTGACAAACATAACTGCTCCACAGCTGGGTTTTTTGGAGCCTACATTATATTAGGCCTATGCCTTTATGCTCATTTTACGTATGTTTGATACTGGATGGTCAGTTACGACATTTATGCACTGTACAATTCAACAAAGCATTTGAAACATGAGTTAATGTCTATTTAAATATTCCTTATTTTTTTATATGAATAGAGAAACACTTTCATGAAAATGTCCGCGACTATGATCTAATTAGCTTTTTTCACATTTTAAGAGTACGTTTTATACTTTTACTTTGAAGGCGATAAAAAACTTCCGGGTCTTATCCCTATTCAAGCCATTTCACTTGATGCACATGATCATCCAACAGAAGCAGGAGGTCGGGATCTTAAATGGGGGAAGGGTGGGAGCGATAAGCAAAGTTTATCCCCCCCCCACCCCCCCAGGCTCCGTCTGTAGCAACTTTCAATTGCTTTCACCTCTGAAAAGATCCATTCATGGCTTTAAATGACCAGTGGTCTTTATTGTAGTGGCTCCACTAGACAACAGACCTGAACGTCAACTGCATTTTCATGTAGCATAGGAAAATAAGGTTACTGGCTAATGTAGTGGTTAATTAATTAGTGTGTAAACCATAACATATGACCATAACTGTACGCCTATATCATTCTGTTGTGAAGATTTCTGCCTCAACTATGTTGTATGCACAGTTTATGGGCCCAATCTGTTAGGTAAACTCTGAACCTGAACCATGTTATGTTGAAGATAAGCAGCAGTTATTAGGTCGTTCACCAGGTGGAGCTAAAAACAACAAAAAAATACTTCTCTGCTTATAAAAAGCCTAGACGAGTATACAAAAGTAAAATTGTATGCATAAGAAAAGACATGTTTTGTTGGAATTTTGTTATTTTCTTATTCAGACATGTAATAAACAAGTTCACAGATTTGAAAACAACTGAGCATGGCAAAGCAAAGCAAAACAAAACAAAATATCAACAAGTGACACTGACATATTTTTAAGTCTTTCCATTTTTGTCACAACCAAATAACAAATGTCCATCCAAATAGTTCTCGCGAGTCCACACACCTAGTCCCAGCTAGTGCAGTGAATCTATGAGAATACGTCTCTGACACATTAAACGATGCTAACAAACTAAGAGACATAGCCTGTCCCACAATACACCGAGACCATAATATTATCATGCCATGATGGTTCTCAGGATCTGTGCTAAAATGTTAAAGTAAAAATCTCGACAATAACACTGGTATGATGGATAATACAACCACATCAAAACATTGTAGTACAATATTTTAGAAATATCCATTTTATCTGTGTAGTACTCTACAAGTTTTATAAGTTATTGTGTAGTTAGGTTGATCTATAGTTGTTCTGCTGGGAGTTTAGTAGATTCTAAAGCTCCCCCACTTTGCTACATCAAAATGGAGGAATTTAAACAGTTTCTTAAGTCCATCACACCGCAGGCCGTCGCCTGCACAGCTGATAAATGTGCATTACCAGAAGTCAAAGCTCTCTTTCTGCTGTACAAGCACCATGATGTATCCAGATCGGGTCCACTGTGGGAGCAGAACAGTATGAGCGCCCTCTGGTTTTCCCCTGGTGTGACACTGAGCAGGTGCGGCCCTGTTTGTGCAGCAGAGATTTAAAGGACAATACCGGTGTCGTTTACAGCTACAGCCCCTTCACTACCTCCTACATTTAGTTGACAGTTCCTCAGTCATTGTGCATTCAACTTTTTTGTGTAATGTTTTTTGCTTAGATAGTATCTCATTCTGTGGGTGTCATGTGACTGACAGTAACAATGGTATAACATTATCATGAAGGATGTCAGTGATTAGACACACATTTTGTCTACAACATTTACAATGTGACAGATAAAGTATGCCTAAGTTTCACATTGATGGTAACTAATTACAAAACTGAGTTAATCCTTGAAGCTGCATTAAGTGATTGATTTGATATTATGGAAGGGTGTAAATACAGGAAGACTGAAAATTAAATTTAAAGAAACAAAGCCCTGAGAGACAGATTTTAGCTGTTGCGGCTTATGTTAGCAATAATTGCCAACTTGTATATCTAGAATACATATACGAACATAAGCATCCCTTTGGATTAGTGTGTCTGGCCTTCTGACCAATAGTAACCAAACATATAGCTCAGGTTTGGGTGGTACTTGGCTAGTAGCTAGTTAGCTAGTAGCTGGTATTGGCCAAACATCTAGCTCTGGTTTGTACTGTACTTGGCTAGTTAGCTAGTAGTTAATTAACTTCAATCTTCTGCCATTGCAACTGGCCAGGTACTGTAACAAAAGCTTGTCTGAACTGGCATGCTATGGTTGGTCTATGTGAAAACAAACCAAATCAAAACAATGAACTAAAAGCTGCATGTAGCTGGAGAGTTAGTAATTATGTTCGGCTTTACACATTACTAAAACTGATTTGATTCTATGTATCAAAAATATCACTTAATGCAGGGTTGTGATTTATGTTTATATCCTATAGAAAATGAAAGGCTGCAAAGTTTTTAACAAAACCCTGACTGTATCTCTAACTTGGCTGTGTGCAGACAAACTGGGAGTAACGTAAAACAGGGGTAGATTATTGGCACAAACTGAAAACAGAAAACACTGGTGTTATCCTTTAAAATAATATACTATACCTTACTGCACTCTTTAAAAGAAGGACTTTTATCAAAACCTGCCCGGTTCCTTTATACAACCATAACAAGCATTAGCCGAACTACACAAACCTGCTCCAAACATTACGCAAAAACACCAAATGGTGCCAGTGCGAGTACTGCTGCTTTGCTTTGTCAAAAAAGTCCCACTACAGCAGAGGCAGTCCAGAAGTAAAACATCAGAGTAATTGGGACAGGAGCAAAGGTTTGCTGGGAAGTTGAAAGTTTCAGTGTAGGGACACAGAGTGTGTAGTGGATGGTTGGGTGTTTAACAGGCAGGTAAAGATTCCAGACGGAGGCTGAAAATTCCACATGGGGGTAGAAAAGGTCACTCTGCCGGCCACTGAAGATGATGTCAAGGGTGGGGCTGCACATTTCATTTAACAAAAATATTTATAAAAAAAGAAAACTTGACAGGCAGGTGCATCTGAAGGAAACCGTACAAAACCATAAAGCTTGTCCAAACTGAAGAAGTTCCTTGTCAGAATAAAGCTGTCTTAGTAAATATTCTAGTAGCAAGTTTTGGACAGCGTGTGGGATCCTTTCAATTGCACCAAATGTCCAAGTGAAATTGGTGATCACTAAAAACTTCAAAGATGGAGCAAGATGTGTTTCATATTGCTTTCTAAATGCAGAATTCCAGTGCTGTGGAGAATCTTTAAACTGACTGAAACTCGCTAAATCTGATGTGTTGGCAACTCATTCTCTGATAAATGGGCCACAATTCCTATTGAAATTTGGAAGATCCAAAAGAAAGAAAGCACAAAAAAATGTTTTTCAGTCAGTATTGTGCAGCTCTAAAGCAGAGGCAGAACGCTCCACCAGCGACCCGTGGACTTGCAGATGAGATGTGGGTGGGGGCCGGGGCCAGGGGCAGGGGGCAGGTTTTGAGTGGGGGTGACTCAGTGGGACTCTCCGCTGACCGAGCTTCCCTCTCCTCGTGGCGAGGAGGAGCGGGAAAGCCCCTTCTCTGTGTTCTCTGAGCTGGAGCCGTTCTGGTTGTGGTGGTCGGCCGTGGATGCGACGCTGGACGATGTAGCTGAGGTGGACGAGGGCTTGGCCTTCTCCTTAAAGTCTGTTATGACGACTGTCAGGTCTCCAACTGTCACCTCCAGGTGCTGGGCACTGCTCCGGTCGATGTTTTTTAATCTGGGCCTTGTGATAGAGAGAAACATTTGGGGAAAGTGAGAAAAAACAAGGAAAGATGAGAACGCTTATTTAGAGTATTTCTTTAAAATCCTGCATGAGGTTTTGTATTAATCATCCCTTGCACTTCACGTTGAACAAGTGCAAAGTACTATCTTTTGATTTGATTTACCCAAGAGTGAAAAGCACCTTGATCTTTTTGCTTCATTGTCACTGAAAACTCCAAAGACAATCTTCCAGACACTGCTTTGAAATTTATTTCTGGTGTTTCCCACCCTCCGCACTTCTATCTTTAGAAGTGCTTTATGAAATATGACAACACATCAACCTAACGTCAGGTGGCAGAACGGAAACACCGTCTAGAGTTTCTGGTGTTTATTCATGCATCCCGGTAATGTCTGATTCCTGTTGATCCCCCCCACCTCGTGTCAGCTTGTTTACCTCATCTTCTTGTGACTGTTCTTCTTGAGCGCCGGCTCTCTGTCGCTCTTCTCCCTCTCTACTCTCTCCTTCTTCTCCTTTTTGGGCTGCGAGGGCAACACAAACTGCTGCGTTACCTGCTGCTGCGAGACGAGCTGGGAGACGGGACGGGGCTTCCTGATCCGGTGGAGGGAGACAAAGAGAGAGAGTGGTGGGATGACAGAGTGTGGCAGATTAATGAGAGGGAAAATCACAGTGAACACATGGCTTCATGCTATCCTACCACCATAATCAAGAGCCAATAATCCCTGCCAGTGCTGGTTAGGATGGTGCTGGTGAAATGTTCTTAACACTGGCAGCAAGTGGCAACACACACTGAGTGCATTCAGATTAAAACTCAGGATACAGCCATCTGTGATGTGTATACCTGCACAGGCTTGTTTTAGTGCCCAGAATGAGCGGTTTTGGTGAACACAGAGATGTGATAGGGATTCTATGTGCGCAAAACACACTGAATTCAGATGGTTTCAGTATGGTTTTCTCTTTGCATGCTTTTATAAAACTACAAGCTAACTCACAGAGAAATCCATGAAACTAACAGTGGTGTGGTGTTGTAAATAAAGGAGAAAAGTGACATCAGTTCTGTGTCATATTTTAATTGAAAGGTTACACCCAATATGTTTTTCCCCTTTCCTCCCAAATGTGGAATGTCTTGTTCTCCTGCACTGCACTCTCTTTTATCACTCCAGGGGATGGTGCACGCACTCATAAATCCTGTCACCTGCCGCCTCTTTCAACAACCAGTAGTTGCTATTGCAGCATCAGGGTCATGATCCCTCACCAACTTCGCATTCTCCATCACTGTCAGTTGTGTTAGTGGCTTTTGTCAGACTATAACTATATTTTCCATGATGTTATTTTAAGAATGTGATTATATATTATGTACAAAACACAGTGTATTGGATTTTGCTGCCTTGGCTTATTTCAGGTATCAAAAGCCATGGTCCCTGGTTTGTTATTGATGACAGAGAAACAGTGTTCACTCACTGATGGCAATGACTGCTCCACAAAATGCTAAAAGGCAAATCGCATTTCAAACATAGCTCGGTGGAACAAGGTTAGCTAAATGTTCCCCCTCACAGTCGCATTTCCATCCTCCATGAGTGCCTGCTGTCTCAAAAAATGATACATTATGCAACTGGTCTGGCAACAGTTTGCATGCATGAAGGCTGCGATCGTGTTTCTGTGCAGGAGTGTCTGTGTGTGTGTGTTTTGGGGCTGGCAGGAACCCTAGCCGAGAGGCGAGTGTGTTGAAAAGGCCATCTGTTGAGGGAGCCTACACATCTAGTGCCGGATTTTGCACGCAAACATTCACACATAGACACAGTAGTACGTTTGAATGCACCAATGCACATCATAGCATGCAGTTACTGCATCGAAAGCCAAAGTGGTGGATACAAATCAAAAAATGGGTGCACCTGAAAACATATGCATTGCTTTATAAACCAACACGATCAACAAGAGATACACTAAGGTGCATTTAGGCATGTGCACATGGCTGTACACATACATGCATGCCAACACACACACACACACACACACACACACACACACACACACACACACACAGAAATGAGCAGATGAAGCATGAGGGCATGAGGAGAACACAGAAGAGCACAGTGTGTTTTCTGAGCCCCGTTGAGCAGTCATATTTGCAATTAGCTCAACACTGAAAACAAATTTCATAATTCATCAGCCAGTTACACTGTTTTACAAGCTTTTACACTATTTTAACAACAGATCTCCTATGAACATTGGTTGTTCACATGCCAAAATGGTGCCATCACCTTGTCTTCTGTAATACATGCTTTAAACTGTTGCTTATAAAATATAAAAAATGTGTCTTAGAATTTAAGCCAAGCAATGCATCTGTGCTCTTATACTGTAACTCCAAAAGCTCTGCTGGTAACACTGCACGACAGCTTCACTCAAGTGTCCTAACCTGTGAGTGAACCCTTCGAAAAGTATTGCAATTACAAAACATTGGCCTCCAGGTGCTTCATGAAAAATGTCCTTCTGCACTTGCCTAATGTAATTATGAGGGCGTAACACAGTCCCTAGAGAGCGTACAAATGTACATGACTTGATAAAAATCCATCCACAAAATTAGTTTGAGCACCTGGCCAAGTGTTACTGTGCAGTGCTCTACATTTTAGTCAAAAAGAGCCTTGGTGGCCTATTTAGCTTAATCTAGAGACTTCCACCTCATTTTCTAAGAGGAAATATATAAGCCAGGGCTGCTGGTCTGCTGTCTTGTTCTAAGGGCAAAGCTGTTGTTTAACAGTTCTGGGATGACCTAAATTGGGGCCCAGCTTCAAAAGAGTCTCTCCCAGAGTCAGTTTTTTTTTATCATTGCCTTCACAGAACATGCAGTGAAACTAGCAAGGCTAGAGTGAAATGCAAATGGGTCTCTTGGCCTACATAACTGTCTGATTGGGAGGAGATGTAGAGATCCTCTAATATGTCTGTCTTGTCAGCACGACACTGCAGAACTGCTGACACATTTTAAATAAAAGCAGAGGCCTCTCAAAGTCCTTGGTTTCCAGCTCAAGTAACGTGCTGCTTTCCGTGACATCCTTTTACCCGGATACAATATAGAAATGTCCGGTCTTTTGAAATTTACCGAAGCTCACACACAGAACAGCGATTGTCACAACAGAGTCGACCATCATGCCCTCGGGCCAAATGTTACCAGCTTCCAAATATAAAAACAAGACGGCCGGCTGCCTCATTCAGCACCTCCTTTGGTTTGTCTTTGATTGATGATCATGTCATTATGCGGTTTATATGTTTTCTGTGTGACCTACTGTATGTGTATGTAATGAACAGATGAATTACTACTGTCTCATTAGTATGTTTTGCTTTATGTGCGATCAAAAGAGAAAAAATTGTCACCTGGGGCGAATTATGATCTTTTCAATTTCAAACTAAAATACTGGCTGCGCCTGAGAGCAATTGGGGGCAACTATAAACATATTTTGTACATCCTATCTTCTTCATGTATTACAGTGGAGTAGATTTTCACTAATAGAGCCAGTTCAATAACCTGGAGGTGAAAGAGGAGACAGACAACCTAATATTACGGTGGGGCAGGCCTAAACAGAGCTGCCTCTGTTAACCCAATCAGATGGTTATTATCTTAGCACTTAGGCCTCTGCTACTGGCCTCCATCTGGAAGCTGGCGGAGTGTGTGTGTGTCTATTGATTCCAACAGGAATTTCTGTGCCTAATGTAACAGCCTATTCTTTCTGACATTAATACTCCGTGTTGGATCTGTTGTTCCAAACAATATTTGCTCCTCTCATGCCATCTATTCTACAGCAGTTAAACCCGCACTGGGAAATGAGGATGTTACGAGGAAGGTCTAAACACGCTGAATAAAATTTCCTTGCAAAGGAGAGGTTAAAGAAAACAATGGGTATTAATCCTACTCTCTTTATTTTTTAGCTTTTAAATCACAGAATGTCGTCCGCCGTTGTCTTCCTGTTCACCTCTGCTCCTGTTTTATTAGCATTCCAAAGCACTTAGTGAAAGACTCTCCATCATCTTCTGTCTTTCTTTAGATTAAACAAACGCATTATTTTCACTTTCAACCTCTCCAGCCCCAATAACCTTTTACATCTTTTGTTTTGAACCGCAAACTAAAGACAAAGTTGTCACGTCCTGCCTGAGGGGAGGAGCTAGAGAGTACACATGCTGCCACTGATCCCTCACACATTTCACTGACAGGGGAACTCTGGCTGACCCCTACGCAAATATGTCATAAACACACACACACACACACACACACACACACACACTCTATAGCTATCCTTCTCTTCCTCCTTCTGATGCACCCACTAACCTCACACTCCTCCTCTTCTGGCCTGTGCTCTGAAACAGAGAAGAAAAAAAAGGCACTCGAACAACTAACACTACCAGAAAAGATCTCCTCTGGTCCTGATTCGGTCAAAATCTGATTGCAAATGTTTGTCCATAACAAATTCATTATGTGGTCAAATTATGACTCAGGGTGGTTTGGCCAGGATGTCTAGTTTCTGCCACAGAGGACAAACGGGTCATCAGCAGCACCACTGACAGAGAGACTCACAGATGGTGTGGTAGTTTGTACGAGCCAGAACCTGCTTATAGGCAAATCATAATGACCTTTCTAAAAGGACCACTTTGAAAAACAGCGACTATGAGTGGTCTAGTCTACTAAGACACCCACAGACAAGGGGATATCAAATTCAGAGACTTTTCAGTAACTTCAAACACTCCATCAGGCAACCAGGTGGTTTGATGTGATTAGTTTTGACCCTAGTAGGCAAAGCTGAGGTTCAGCTTTGTGACAATGCATTTTCCAGATAATTCAATGGGCTTTTAAGTGGGTGCCTTAGCCTAAGACAAACAAGCAACACTTCTTCCAATGCAACCCCGCCCCCCCTTTTCCGAACATAACATCACAGTTACTCACAATTCTTCACAGACCGTGAGAACATGAGAACTCCTTTCTGCCAAAGTACACCTACCAACTGTTTTAGCCCAACACTTAAAGGAAGAAGCCACACAAGTTTTATTATGTTTTTGGGTGGACAGATGTTAATAAAACTAAACACTGGTGCTGTAACAAATCCTAAATCTCCACTGCAGGGCATCAGGAGGTAAAGTGTTTGTGCCAGGACTGAAAGGTCCATACAAATGAGGTGCAGTATTTTTCTAAATAAAATAAGTATCTTGCTTTAAGTCAGGGCTGCCTTTAGCTTTAGTTTTGGATAAAGGTGTGTCTACTCCTGGCAGGGCACCTGTGGCCATTATACCAGGCATTTGCGATTTAAAAAAACAACGTTTAACTGGTAATGCGTTGCATTCAAAAGACAGCAGGACAGAATTCTGCAGATGTTTGGACTGCTTGCTAACATTTGTCGAGTACATTGTGTGATGAGCAAACAGCCCACAGGACAGCTGACGGGCTGAAAATAAGCGCTGGAGTGCGCTGCTATAAACAAATCTCATCTCACTGTTCTGTGATGATTGTAAGATCATTGTGAAATAGCTCATTTTATGCCCTGTTGAACACTCTCTCAATCTAGGTGTAGGTGTACGTGTGTGTGTTAGGTTCTATCAGCAGGTTGTAG